ATCACAACGTTCCAAAAACAACAGCCACAAAAAGGGCTCACTAAAGTTTCATACCCTAGTGATATAGTATTTAAAAGAAAATACTTGTATATGTTACTTAAAAATAAGGCTTGAAGTCTTCCTAGAAGTCAAGGTGACTAAACTGAGGTTTTCATATTTTAATCATGTCATGGGAATAGATTACTTACTAAAAATATAGTAAATTGGAGCAAAGTAATAAAGAATTTAGTTTTTAAAAAACATAAAAAAGAAATACAACCATGCAGCATAGACTTCTTTACTAAGCAAATGGGATAATAGTAGGGCAAGATCTCCTTCTGGACTCCAGCAATAATACTCCCCCAAAATGGACCGAGGTACTTTTAATGTTTGGAAAAATCACATTTAAATGCTCTTTTTAAAGTATTGTCTGGTTTACCTTATAGAGACGTTTGTTCAGTGCTTATAAGATAAGAAACACTATCTCCTCCAGATATTCTGCTGCAGAAGTTGAAGACACCCCTGTTTTATACTGCAGAAAATATATAGAAAGACATGTGGTGGTGGTGTTTCCGTGCTAGGATACTTCATGAACAAATAAATATCATGATCTTAAGACTGTTAGATAAAGAAGTCAACTTTTAAAGTGTTTTCTACCTGGTCTTTTTCTAACAAATATCACCATCTTTACTGACTATACTCTCACTTCAGTCTTCATTAGAGCTTTAATTACATGACTATGAAATAATATACTTATCCCCATTGAGCAGTTTAGTCTTTAAACATGTTAGGTTTTCACCTTTGGTATAAAGTAATGTGCATGTGTATGAAAATGCCCTTTTCTGCATGTGGGTATATGTATCTTCATGTTACTTTTGAAATTCATATAGTTTTCTTAGGGAAGACCTATACAGAGGTGGTTTTGCCAGTTCCCTGAAATACAGCCTATAGTACTTGGTATTCATTGCCGATCTTTCATTAAGCAGCATCAAGGGTTAACTCTGCATAGTTTACAAGATCAGGCAGGACCTGTTGCTTTCTTTTTAAAAAGCTAGTAAACAGTGATATCACGTCAGCTCAGATGTAAGCGCCGTTGTGTTCAGTGGGGCTTATTTCAGATAAATAAATATTTGATAGATATTTCATTTGATATCAGGCATGGGCAAACTTCAGCCCTCCAGGTGTTTAGGACTTCAACTCTCATAATTCCTAACAGCCTACTACAGGCATGAGCAAACTTTTTTGCCTTGGGGCTGCATTGTGGGCCCGCCCAAGAGGGCTGGCATTGCTATGAGTGGGACGGGCCTGGGAAGGACAGGACGTGTGAGAGGGTAGGCTAAAAGAAATTGTGGGAGTAGAAGTCAAAAACACCTGGAGGACCGAAGTTTGCCCATGTCTGGATTATAGCCTAAAAGTCAATGTGAGTCTGAAATGGGGGTCTCTACCTTATTCTCAGTCTCACTTGCTCTCACACATGTCCGCAGATTCCAAACTTCCTAATTACAGTTCTAACATACACTTTCTTCAATTTTGCTTACACAGTGGAGTATATATATGTGTGTTAACTATTTCCATTAAGAGGTACAACAGGAACCAGTAGTTGAACTAAGTTGTGTTTCTTATCCTGTTGTTGGGATGCCACACTCCTAGCAAAACAAAAGAAATTACTCTTGTACTGTCAAAGTAGTGATACTGTCCTTTGTTGAGGAGCAGTTGTAATGTATTTCTTATTTGGAAAAGGAATTCATTACAATTCAGTTGTTACTTGCAATGAATTGTTATCGTAATATGATACCCGGGGGGGGGGGGGGGGGGGGGGAGGTAATTTCAAATTTCTACTCTACTAGTTTAAGAATTTTTGCTAAAGGAAGATTATATAAGGGTTTTGTGATTGCCTGTCCCAGCTGGGTTATGGAGAGACTTGGAGAGCTTAGTAATTTATTATAATGCCTCAAATAATGCGTCAGGGAGACCCATTATGATGTGTGCACCATAAGTAAGTAGCAAGAAGTCAGTTATCATCTACAGTGTAAAGCTGTAGGGTAAAATAAGAAAGCATGAAGAGAAGTGGAGAAGAGGTTAGGTAAGGGAAGGGATAGTCTCCTTTTCCCTTTGTACATGCAAGAATGCAAGAATGGAAGGTGCTTTTTCTGACTAGCTACAATTACAACTATTGTAAAAGGGCTGTGTTTGTTAGTTTGGATTGTCCTATTAAGACAGAATGGTAAACTGAGATAGTACAGATGGCAGAAGTGGATCCCGTTGATGACAAATTCCCGAAGGAACCCTGTTCTTCTTCTTCCTTTTTCGAGCTAACTGGTACTTGCAAGTTTTCCATTTGTAAATTAATCTTTAGAAATGTTTAGAAATGAAGCACTGTTAGTAATTAAGCTTAGATGTGTTGCACTTATATAGATAATGTTGTCTGGAAAATCAAATTTGCAAGATAAAAACTTGGTTGTATTTTTTGTCATTTAAAACTTAATTAAAATAGATTAGTGGTTCCCAATCTTTGTTCCTTCAAATATTTTGTATTTCAGTTCCTGGAATCCCTGACAGTTGGGAAGTTGGCTGGGACTTCTTGGAGATTATGTCTAACATCTGGAGATCCAAAGATTGGAAGCCGTTGATCTAGATGTGTGTCCTGAGTTGTTGTCATAGGCCCCATTTATACTGACCATATAATGAAGTTTGAATCTTGCTTCAAACTATGGTGGCCAGATAACAAACTCCCCCAAAGTGTAAGAAAGAAAGTCCTGCATCAGTATTCCGTGATTTGTATAATCACCATCTGATCTCAGCGATATAATTGAGCACTAAAATTTCCTTACTTCGAAATGCCCCAAATAAAGTTGTCATCTTTTTTTTGGCACATGCTTTGTGAATATCTGAAGAGTGCTTTCCAACAATGTATAGTAGTTTAGCTAAAATGATTTCAGGGTACTGGGGATTACAGTTAGTGCAGTTTAAATGTTATATTCAAATAAATGCAACCTTGTACAGGAAAGTAATTTTAATAGAATACTTAATTTCAGTCATAAAGACTCAATATCTCTCTTATAATATTAGACTTTTCAGAAGAAAAACAATGAAGTCACTAAAAGCTAAAATATGAAAAAAAGACTCTGAACAGATATAGCAGTGAGAAGCTGTATTCCACATCAATACTGCTTATTTCAGTGGGTGTTTTCAGTCAATGCTATAGTTCTTTCAATGGTTAATGTAGATAAAAAGGGATTGTGAAGAATTGTAGAAGAATCTCCACATTGGGCTAATGAGCAACAACATGAAATATGTACTGGATAATTATGCATTAATTGATGTGTTGGGACAAAGAACCCCAATTTCTCATGGTGTCTAAGTTAGCCATGATTCACCAGGAAAGGAATCTTGGCATTATTGTCAGTAACTCGGTGAAGATGTTGACCCAGTATATAGTAGCTATGGAGGCATTGTGGAGTGGTAGCAGATGCTCTGTTAGAGGTTCATCATAAAAAGGTGGGAAAAAAATCTGTCAGTACTCTGATATGTTGCTACCAGTTGGAATTTTTTCTTCTTCTGTTAGTGGGATCACATTATGCCCTCCTTAGATTCTTTCTCCCAGACTCTTACTCCATTTATGGCAATAACTTTGACATCTGGAATTTCTATTCATACATATAAAGGGGATTTCTCCTCCCCTTCTTTCAGTTCCCTTGAATTGTAGGTTTTCAGTGAGGACTTTGGTTCTGTCCTTTTCATTCTAATTCCAAACTATGACCAGTTTTGGAACAAACAAACTCTTTCCCTTTACGTGTTACTTGTCATAACAATACTACTGAAGGATACCAGAAGGAATATGAACTGAAAACAGGTCATGTTAATATATTTGCAATACAAATAAATATTTGCAATGTGGCCACTTAATCCCGCCCTATCGATATTTGGCACTTGGACCTCCTTAAGGCCAAATATCGATAGGGAGGGATTAAGATGCCAGTAGACCAATGAAGGCAAAAAGCAACAAGCAAAAACAGAAATTGCCACTTGCCCAGAAATTTTGAAGTTTTAATTTTGAAGTTCCAGTTGACCATATTTCCCTACATAGGCAAAATAGCATTTCTCTATACTTTAGCACATTTAAAGTTAAGGCCCTGTTTTCTCACATTTGCAGTCAGGGATAGCCAATTCATTGTAATACTACAGGTGCCGATAAGGCAAGGTGGGCATCTCTTGGATGCTAGGAAACTGCCTTGCCTCCATGTGCGACTTTGTAAAGACCCCATTGTCTTTTCATGCTTCCATCCTCTTAGAGAATTTAGTTTTAATTTTTCCCCAAGTAACCAATAACAATCCTTTGAACATGAAGGCGTTCATCTTTTTAGACCTCTAGGAACTTTGTAAAATCTATATAAGCCATCTTTCAGAATAGGAAATAATTAGAGTGGATGATTTGAATTTTCAGAACTTAAGAAAATATGAGGGATCCATTCTGATTTCCCTAGAATTTGGCAACGTGTTCAATATCACTGCCTCAGAGTTTCAGGAGTGTTTTTGTTCAGTGGGGATGAAAACATTGTCCCCACAGGTTTGAGGTTCCAGTGGAAACCCATGCTTACTAATTAAGTCAAAGAAGCCACCTGACTTTGCATTTGAAGGAACCAAGTTTTTTTAGACATTTACTAGTATTTTTATTGTTTGAAATGTTTAATGTTTTACTTTGATGATTTCATTGATTAACTGATGGAGCAGTAGCAAGTTAGTACTTTAATATATGCATAAGGAAAGTTGCAAGTTGTGTGCATCCTGTAACTTTGCAAAACGTTCAATGCTTGGGAAGAACAATATATACAAATACAGTGCAGCATGTAAGAAAAATGGTTCAATCCAGTTAATGCTGGTGGTTGGTCTTGCACAATCTTTAAAGAGGTGTTAAGAAAGCAGACTATTGCATTGGCTATCTTTTGTAACAGTGTTAAGCATCCTTTTGTCTTAAAGTATAGAACTGTGATCATAAGGACTGTTTCTGATGTTTCTGATAGTTGGTGTGGATGACTACAGCTCAGAGTCTGATGCGATTATTATACCTTCAGCCCTGGACTTTGTCTCACAAGATGAAATGTTGACGCCTCTGGGAAGATTGGACAAGTACGCTGCAAGTGAGAATATTTTTAATAGGTATGATATTTATCCTAAAGAACAGAATGTATAATTTATAGGGTGCTATATTTTTTTTAAAAAGTTGTGTACAGGGCAAAAATTGTTTTTAAGACAGGGATTTTATTAATTACATTCATTTACTAGTTCATTTTTTTTCCATTTGGTGAATTATATGCCCTTATCATTGGCTGCTTTGCATTTCAGTTTGTAAGAAAATATGTGTTAAAAGTTTTGCATCATTTTTACAAAACAGTAATATTAGAAGAGACTATTTTTTCCTCCAAATTATACATATTACGGGTACATATGAGTAAAAATGCTGCTTTCATTGTCACATTTTTAACATGTGCAAAATAAGCTTGTGACATATTTTTACAAAGATCGGTCTGCCATCTGATATTAGAATGGCTTTCTGACACTATGAATGTATTTTGCTCAGAATAGAGATAAGTTTCTGTCTTTTGAGAAGTAAGCTTTATGTGGATTAGTGGACAAAATCTTAGACAACACAAAGCAGGGTCACATTGCCACAAAACTCTGGGCAAGCTCACACACTCTTAACCTAACCAGAAAGGGTTTATGAGAGAGTTCTTGAAGACAATAATGATGCAATAGTGATATACTGATTCAGTGTAAATTCAATGAAACAGCAATGTACTTTTTCATATTCCAGGCAAATGGTGGCTCGAAGTTTGTTGGACACTTTGAAAGAAGTGAGTGATGATGAAAGAGATTGTATTGCTGTGTTGGAAAGAGTCAGTAGGCTAGCAGATGATTCAGGTATGTGATAAAAGCCATCTGAGCCATTTCAAGTATGGTTCCTATGAATGTCTTTTGGGCAGGAGGAAAGTGGCTGTGTGTGAGAGACATTGACATATAAATGCAGCAATGAATATTTCTTCTTCCTCTTGCAATTTTATACATGCAGATGAGTTAAGCTAGGATTAGATGGTTCGCAAAGTGAAAAATGGCATGTGCTAATGGAGGAATTGTTACAGTTAGAGAAAATGGAACAGCACTGAGTTGTTGGCAAAAAGAAGAGAAAGGTTTTTGATGAAGAAGAATTCTAATGTTCTCTGTTTGAAAATTATGGCATTTCAAGAAGTGTCCGCAGATCCAATCCGCAGGTTACAAATGTTACCACCTCTCTTGAATTTAAAGAATAAACAGACTTAGCCTCTTCTACAGAAGCGTTATCTAACATGAAATGCTGTACTCTTCGACTCTACTGGCACATGCAGAAAAGCCATTTTTAAAAAGGGTTTTGGATGGGACTTCAGAGGATTAGCGAAGCAGCATGTGTCCCTTCTTCCCTAGAATCTCTGTAAGCCTTGAAAGAGGGCAAGAAAGATTTATACTAGTCCAAAACATTTTACAAGGTGATATAAAATTCCTCCTGCTTTCTCCTGAAACATCTGCACTTTCTCTACTTTCATTATGAGCACATGATTTTTCCTCTTGCAAAGGCAACAGAAAAGACAGACAGACGCTCTGCTATTCATTTGGCTTGTGTGAAGAACTTATTTCATGGGATGTTCAAATCCCAGCTGAAAACCAAGCCAAAGTTTCTGGGCTTAACATATTCTCTTTAGAAGAAGTGCTCATTTGAATTGTAACCCGTGATATGTGTTTTATTATTTATTTTGTTCCGTATAAATATGTCACTTACTGATGCATTTTGATATTTTTATTGATAGAGCCAACAGTACGAGCAGAGTTAATGGAACAGGTGCCTCATATTGCTATGTTTTGTCAAGAAAATAGGCCTTCAATTCCATATGCATTTTCAAAATATTTATTACCCATTGTGGTGAGATACCTTGCAGACCAGAATAATCAGGTGAGACTTCCTTCAAATTACTGGAAAAATAGAAGATAATTTAGAGACTGTATGTCACATTTTGTTCCAAATGAGCACCACACCAAATGTTTTCCACAAGTTGTTTGGACAGTATGAATATTTGTGTTTTGAAGTAGGAGCAAGGTTGGCATAGAGCAGAGCCCCTAACTCATGAATGCGTGTAATCTTTTGAGTCAGAAAGATTGCCCAGCTTTATTCTAGGAAGTTAATTCTGCTTCATTTTGGCTTTACCTTGAAATTGGTGCTAGCTCTTTCATTTTGCAGATTTGCAAGACTACACAATGATACACTGGAATTCTTTATTAATTTTTGTATGAACACAGTAGTTTACCTTGTTTCCCCCCACTTGTTTTTGTCTGTATATGACATTCTAATAACACAGAGAGTAATTTAAATTAATATTGTAGGGTCTGGTGGCTTCAGTAGTTTTGTGCTCAATTATAATTTTGGAGATGATACCATTTTTTAAAAAAATTTAAACTAAATTGTTAAATATTTTTTCTGGCTAGGACTGTAAAGAGGTCCATGCTACAGTCCTGTGCATTTCTATTCTAAAGTATGACCCATTGGGTTCAGTGGGGTTTACGCTAGGTAAATGTTTGTATAGTTTCAACTTTATATGTGATCCATAAAGTTATCTCTTGTTGTTTTAGAAAATATTTGCTTTAAGAATTTATTATGCAGGTGAAAACAAGTTTCTTTTACTGTCCCTTCTGGGTTTTTTTTAAAAAAAATCATAGGTGAGAAAAACAAGCCAGGCAGCATTACTTGTTCTTTTAGAACAAGAACTTATTGAGCGATATGATGTGGAGACCAAAGTATGTCCAGTTCTGGTAGAATTGACTGCTCCAGACAGCAATGATGATGTGAAGACAGAAGCTGTGGCAGTAAGTAGGAGAATTAAGTTACGTGCTCCAGGCATTGTTGTATGTTTAGAGCAGTACTTATTAAGCGCTCTGGTGTGAGAGACTAGTAGGTGTATTCTCCCTGTGTACTGGGGGTCAGCAGCTTATTTGTCCTCATTGCCAGCCATTGTTTCCTTTTCTCCTGGAAATTCACTGCGATTTGGCAGCTAATGGCTCATGAACTGGGAACAGTCTTTAGGCAACTATTTAGTGTAGCACTCCTCTAGAGAGAAAGTATGCACACCCTTTTTCCGCCATGATTGCTCCAGGCAGTGTTAGGTGGACAAGGGCTCTTTTCATTTTCTTCTCTCATCCTCATTTCAGTGGGTGTACACACACACACAGAGCCTTATATATATAGATCCCATCCTCTGGAGCCCTACTAAGATTACTGTTTATCAGGTAAAGGACTGTTGTTGGTTCCAGTTTATGGAAATACTTAACATTGAGCAATATGTTGTTCTTGCATAACTCTTTATTTCAGTGTAGATATTATTGTAAAAATTATATGTTCTGTAGTAGAAATGTTTTGTCATAGTCGCTTTTTTGTATACCAGTGGAAGTGGTTCTTGGTGCAATTGCTTGCCTTAGCAAACAGCCCCAAAATACATGCCTGGAGTTCTGTACAGTCAGTCCCTGAGTTACAAACATCTGATTTACAAATTACTCATAGTTAAGAAATGGGGTTGAGACAACAGGAAGTGGGAGAAATCTTCTCCTGGGAAAGGAAATTCACTCTTGAAACGGTTATCACGGGGAAAAGATGTCTCTAATGAAACTTTATCACCAATCTTTGTTTCCACAACAAGCCATTTTTTAAAAAATCAATATATAATTTCACAGCCTATTTTTGTAGCATTATTGTTTGTTTAGACATGTAATATTTTGTAGATCGTCTGAATATATAGTGAATTATTTTTTTCTTTCTCATTAGATAATGTGTAAAATGGCATCCATGGTAGGAAAGGACATAACAGAGAGGCTGATTCTTCCTAGATTTTGTGAGATGTGCTGTGATTGCAGGATGTTTCATGTTCGTAAGGTATGATTTCTGCCATTATTGTGATATTTTACTCTGAATACTTATGGCTGGTAGAGACATTAGATACTAATTCCATCTTGTGTATTTGTGAATGAACACCTGTCACTTGCAACCAGTATACGCATTGTGCATGCTTGAGTGTCAGCTATATATTCTAACCTTAAGTTCTTATATGAGGGAGGCAAATAAATGAATGCATGCATTATTCTTTCTGATCTGGAGGTTTGGACAGGGGAGTGGTTTCATTTTTGACCCCAAATATGATAATTAATTCACTACTGAGTGTGAAAAATGGGATTCATCCACTTTCGTTAAACAATTGTGTGGTTCCCATATTTAGCCTGCTTATTTATGGCAATAGCTCTGATCTCCAAGCTCATTAAAAAAAAACTCAACCTACTGAAATTAGTGGTGTGCTATTCTGTTTTATTCCTGCAGCTGATTTAAAGTAAACAGTATTTCTTACACTATAAAATGTAATTTTCTGTTTTAATTTTTTTTTAAAAAAAAGAATACATATATATCTGTTTATAGTCATTTTGTAAGAGATGTCATTTACTAGATAGGAACATAGCACATCATTAAATGTTTTAGGATACTTTCTCCAATAATTTTATTAATCTCCTGTATATATTCTGAAGTTTTGCTAATATGATGCATTGTTTTTAAGGTCTGTGCAGCCAATTTTGGTGATATCTGTAGTGTAGTTGGACAGCAAGCCACTGAAGAAATGCTAGTAAGTCAGAATTCAAGCATTGTTCTACAATTATTTCCTCCAATATTACTTAATTCACCAAGTTGTAAATGCATTAAACTGTTGCATTTTGATAATAGCCTTTAATTTCATGACAGTTGATAGATTCAGTTGATAGACAGGGTAGGGCTGAACAACCATGGTTTTGCAGCTTTTTACAGTAGATCATATTTTTTATTTGTACAATTTGCATTCCACTCTTTTTCTACGAATTGGATTCAAGGAAACTTACTATAAATATAATATAATAGTATACATATAATTGAATATTATAAATATAATTAAAGCATAAAAGGAATAATGTAATAGATATGGTGTATCATAACTGGAACAACTACAGCTGTTTTGTGACTTTATTCCTTTGAGGCATACAATGTTTTTGTTGCAAATTAGAAACTCTGTGGGATCCCTTTTAATGTCTTATGCTGTTGCATGCTGCTTTTATAAGCTATATTCAGGATGTGGATAAATATTGATACTATATTATCTTCTCCTAACCTCTCAATATGTGCAGGATGTTTATATGCATATACAGTTCTGGACTGACATACCTAGGATTTCATTCTGTTCATTTTTAAAGGATTTCTGAGTGGGCAATTTTATGAATTCACTCTTGACTTTGTCTTACTTATGTGATGACTGTGACTCTGGACACACATTGTACTTTCGGTTTGAAAACTTACAATACAAGATGTGCTGCATAGCATAGGTCTGTGGTAATAAATGATAAATCAAATGCAAACAGGTATATCTGGAATAGTTTCTGTTTGTTGAAGATTACAGTGATAGTGACAAATACAGAGTTTAAATTATATTATTGCTTGTCTCACTGAAGGGAATGGTCTCTGCAACACCTTATAGGAAAAAATGTGGTGGTGCTGGATTCACAGGCCTACATTTTGTATCAGATGTTGTGTCTATAGTAATTCAGTTGGTCTGGAGGGATCTTGGTCATATGGGGACCAAGATTAAGAACAATAAAGTGTAAACTCCATTAGCTGCTTATACCACATGATCAACTGAACTACAGCTGAGACAACATCTGATACAAAATGTAGGCCTCTGACATCGCCATTGTATTTTAATTTTTTTATTTTTTCTGTATGGTTTTTAACATTTTTTGCTGATGAAAAAAGTAGAGGTTTTAAAGCTTTTATGATACATTTTGTGCATTTTGGTTTGCAAAAAGGGATGGGATTTTATAATAATAATAAAACTTTATTTATATCCCACCCTATCTCCCCGTGGGGACTCAGGGTGGTTTACAACAAGCAACGGCAAACATTAAATACCATACAATATTAAACAAAGAACAAACTAACCCAAACCACCCAGATCCCAAAAAACATACCTAGCATTTTGTATTGTGTTTTTATTTTGCTGTATGTGTAGCATGGCTACCCCTGGATATGCATGTTTTTCCAAGTGAAATTCTAGGTATATGTAGACTTCATCCCCCTCCCGCTAGTAGTTTAGGATTAACAAGAAGAACAAATTAGATCCCTCCTGATGGCAGTTTTTAATGTTTTTCAGCTACCTAGGTTTTTTCAGCTTTGTGCTGATAATGTGTGGGGAGTACGAAAGGCATGTGCTGAATGTTTTATGGCTGTTTCATGTGCCACGTCGCAGGAAGTCCGTCGGACAAAATTATCAACACTTTTTATTAATCTTATCAGTGACCCTTCACGATGGGTAAGATGACAGTAGTTAAGCTTTCATTTTTATTATTCTTGAAGCGTGTATATCCTGATTATTTAGATAATGTTTAACATTGACTATTTGTTGATAATGTTATCATGAAGGAAATCTCTCCAAGAGGCAGTGGCATCCATGGATTTGGCAATGGTTTTCAACCCGTGGGTCCCCAGATGTTTTGCATTCAACTCCCATAAAGCCTAACAGCTGGTAAACTGGCTGGGATTTCTGGGAGTTGTAGGTCAAAACACATAGGGACCCACAGGTTGAGAACCAATAGAGAGAATTGAAATGGACAAACACTACCTTTCCCCCTCTAAGTTTGTGAGAAATAAAGGAACCAAAGCATAACTTGTACTACCACACAATGACCAATTAGAAACCAAATCAGTAATGATGAGTTTTAAGATAAATTGCTGTAATTGTGAGGGCTAAAATATTTCCCAAGCCACCGTGATGTAGTAGTTTGAGTATTGGACCATGACTCTGGAGACCAGGATTTGAATAACCACTTGGCCACAGAAGTTCACTGGATGTCCTTGGGAAAGTCCACATTCTCTCAACCTTAGAGGAAGGCAGTAGCAAGCCCCATCTCTACAAATTTTGCCAAGAAACCTTGTGACGTGTTTTTAGAACTGCCATAAGTTGGAAAGAGTTTGAAGGTATGTGAACAACAAAATATTTCCTAGTGAATTGAGAGACTATAGAATTCTGCCTCTGTTGTTGAGTTCTTCTAGTGCTAGATTATATTCCAAATTATGTACCATGAAATCTTAGTCAACTATTGAAAGCAACCATGACTTCTATCAATAATTTCAATGTCTAGTGTTTTGAGGCAATTGGGCCTGTGGAGATAGTGTATTTTTTTTAATTAGGACTAATAGTTTTTTTTTCATGAAATCATCATGAATCAAATAGTGCAAAAGGCAAAAATTATAACAGAAATATTTTTTTCCTTTACCAACATATATTCCTGGCAGTTTGGCTTGGGTTCTCCCAGTCCATTACTTTCTTTGTTTGAAAGCTTCCATTTTCATAATTTAATATATCTTTTGAATTTCATACTGACCTGTCATATAGCTGCTTCATCAAAGGGTTGTTTGCTGATTTACTTTTATAGGTATGCATACTCTTGTGAATTGTAAGTGGAGATGTTAATGAAATTTTGTGTTTTTCAATAAAATCATTACTCTGAAGAAGGCAAAGGGTGCATGTCTTCTCAAGAGTTCGTAGATCTTTTAATTGTTTTTCGTGTCAGGAGCGACTTGAGAAACTGAAAGTCGCTTCTGGTGTGAGAGAATTGGCCATCTGCAAGGACAGTGCCCAGGGGACACCCAGATGTTTTGCCTTCCTGATGTTTTGGCTTCTTTCATGTTTCCTCATTTATTTATTATTTTATTTATTTACTGTACTTATACCCTGCCCTTCTCACCCCAAAGGGGACTCAGGGCGGCTTACAAACTATGGCAACAATTCAATGCCAGATTCAGATAACAACAATATCAATAGAACACAATATTATAAAACTGTAAGAAACACAAATATATAAATTAAAATAGTCTTTCAAATGATTAAAACATATTAAAACATTTCAAACATATCAAAATTACATTGCATTGAAGCATGATTACAGGTCTTACAGTCCAGTGGCTTAACCAGCTGGAGCTGACGGATGGGAACTCATCCTGTTTTCTGGATTCGAACCACTGACCTTTCGGTCAGCAGTCCTGCTGGCACAAGAGTTTAGCCTATTGCTCCTGGTCTTTTAATTAAAAATGAAATATTGTACTTTGTGTTTCCTTGTGATACTGGTATGGTTATAAAGTGTACATGCACCCATCTCCTCCTGGCATAATTGTGGAGGCAGCTGCTGTTCTTACTGGTGAACTAGGTAATGCAGTGTGTTGCCACATTTCATGTATTGATCCTGTTCCTAAGAGCATGACCCCCTGTAGCATTTCTTCAAAATGTGCACTTTTTCTCTACAAGACACTGTATTTAAAGGAGCTTTCTGGAACATGTTTTTCTAGGTCCGCCAAGCTGCCTTTCAGTCCCTGGGGCCTTTTATATCAACATTTGCAAACCCGTCCAACAGTGGCCAGTTTTTTAAAGAAGAGGAATGTAAAAACACTGAGGACCAGAATTTTGCTGAGGAGAATAGGTATGGATGGATTATGTATTAAAAGTATGTTCTTAATGTTGCCCTACAACAAAGGAAATTCTGGCTTGAAACCAACTTGCCAAATTCTAATGTTACCATCATTGTTGGATTTTGGTACCTTGGGTTTCATCCAAACTTGCCTAACATCAGGGTGTTTGGCTTCATAAGGCTATTTTATAATCCTCCAGAATGAGTTTTTATGGAGCACATGGGGTTACATGGGGGTACTTCTGCTTGATTGAAGTACTTCCACAAGGATTATTATGACTGAGAGTGGGTATTGGCCCCAATATCCTAAAGTTTGGTGGGCTGGTAATTTTAAAAAGCAATCCCGGTAAAGGTTTTCATCTATGTTTGTATTGTATTGTTTTTTGTTGGGGAAGTACTTTAATAACACAAATGTTTCCATCAATAAGGAAGCGGTTTACTGTGGCCCAAGATCCTTCTGTAAATGGGTGAGGCTTGTCCTTTACCCTTTGTGTCACCTGTGATGTGGGATGACCACTTTGATCTAGCCAGGCATATGTATAATCAATATTGGAGATACCTTATTATTCTCATTTCCTCTTTTGGTCCAGCAATGAAAGAATGGTGGGCGCAGAAGAAATTCCAACCCATGATGTACAAAGCCAGACAGAGCTGCTTTTAGATGAGGAGGAGGATGAGGATGAAGTGACCGATTCTGCAGAGATCCTTAAAAATGACAAGGAAGAGAGTAACTCTGCATTGACTGATTCCCAGGCTGAGGCATTCTTACATTGCACTTTGTCTCCAGAGTCATGTAAAGAAACTGAACGCTTGAATGAACAGTGTTTGGATTGCTGTAGCATAGCAGAGCTACCAACACCTGCACTAAGTTCCAAGGAAAATGCCCTTTCGGAGCAGGAGCTATATAATTCATTCCATTTTTGGAGGACTCCACTTCCTAAAATAGATATTGATTTAGAGCTTCAGGAACCTGCAAAGGTACTTGATTCAGAAACTCAGAAAAGAGAACAAAAGGTGGTTGCATCCACTTCTTCAAACATTACCATGGCTACAAGGAAAGAGCTAGAAGAAATGATAGAAAATTTGGAGCCTCATATGGATGATCCTGACGTTAAAGGTATTAAATAACGTTTTGGTTGCAGGTATAGTTTGAAGTAGGTGATCAGATAAGAAGATCTGTGACCCATTATGAAGAGTTCTTCTTTTCTTTTTTCATCCTTCCTTTTGATAAATCTCTATCTTGAAGTGCCATAATTAAATAATTTTGGAAACAGCTGTGGTTTGAGTGCTACAGAATGAGATTGAATTGGTTGAAGACAGATACTTTTTTATTACCTGAACGTTGATTCATATCCTTAAACAAAAGCATTTATTTATGTATATATATTATTCTGTTTATAAGTCCAAATGACACCAATAATCTATAGCATTTGTTGCTTAATTGTTTTATTTCTGTCTATCTTGCCACCTGTACTACATTTTGTCCCTTCCCTCTGTGTTAAATCACAGTATCAGACTAATGGGACCAGTTTTTCATGGTCATTTTATTCATTATTTTAAACATTGGGTGGCCTGTTCTACAAAATAATCAAACTATGGTCAAAACACAGCATTACATTATGGTGGAAAAGCTTTAGGTAGAACGACTCCCCTACAGTCTGATTCATCAGCTGTCTTCAAAAGCTGAAAGCTGTATATTTCTGTTAATAATAATAATAATAATAATTTATTTCTAGACTGCCCACTCTCCTGAAAGTGACTCAGGGTGGTTTACATATAGAGACAGGCAAACATTCAATGCCTTACAAAGTACAAACAATAGCAGAAATAATACAAAATAATGCACAATAACAATAGTAAACTTATAATGAAAATAAATAAATATTGAAATGGAAATCAGGTAGCAATAAACCTAGACAATAAAACTAAGACATAAATGAAAATTAAACATATATAATTAAAAACAGTTAAATAAATTGCATTTGAAATAGCTAAAAGAGGTGTTTATTAAAAATATATTGTAGCTGTCATATAGTGCAAATGGTTCACCAACGTTCCGGTGGATTAAAGTATCTTAGTATCCGGCCTCTCTATACGATAAGGAGCATAAGTGCATTTTCAGAGGTTTCCTAAAGGAGAGGAAGGTAGGGGGTGTTTTTATTTCTTTAGGGAGGGAGTTCCAGAGATGGGGAGCGATCATGGAGAAGGCCCCCTCTCTCGTTCCCACCAGCAGTGCTTGAGACGGGGTGAGACCGAGAGCAGGGCGTCCTCTGCTGACCGCAGTGCATGAGATGGCCTATATAGGGAGATGTGATTGGATAAATAGTAATTCCAAAGATGAGCATGTTGGTTTTTGATATCTGTTGATATTTTGAAACATGCCATTTATATCTATGCTTCTCAGAGTTTTTGTTTTAAAGGTTGTGGGTATGAAGAAGCAAATAATTTGGTATAATATGATACTTTGCATAAATCTGTGTCTGCTTCTGGACATAGCTGTCCTCAAAAATGGGTTACAAACCTCTTTTCCTTCTCTTGGCAGTTTTAAAAAGAGATTTGTGAATCTTGTTTGGTTGTTTATATCATGTACTTTAGCATCAATCAAAAACTTTATAATTGACATGTCAATATTTTTTAACAAGATGTTTATGGATTATGTTGGTTTCAGTGTATCTCTTTATGAACTTAATAAGTAAACAGACTAGCCCGATGCCCCAAGTCCTGTTTAAGTTCAGTTATCAAGTTCATACCATGTTGTCAACAGTTCCAAATATGTCTCTTTAATCCTGGATTACTCTCTTTGCTAGTTGTGCTAGTTTACAAATGTTAATCCATCAATTCATTTCAAGTATAGCCAATTAAACACCCTTGCCTTTTGAAATTGTTTTCATTTCAATACAAATAGTACCTTTTGAAGGAAGGCATGAACTAGAAAATAGAGTATTTGAATAATTATTAGCATTACTAGATAGTGAACCTGTGCAGCTCATATTAGTGTATCTTCTGTTAACTCAGGGTAGTTTGTTTAGGTCCGAATGACGTCGCTGTTTGAGTCATGGAGGTGACCTGAAGGTGACCCTATTGCAATTTTTTTTGGTTTAGTGTGGGTTTGCTTTTTCTTTTCTCTAAGGCTGATAGAGAGATACAGAAGTTTCATGGGGGAGCTTCTTGCCTCCTTGTTATGTAATTGTTTTTCTGGTGGTGAAATGAATTCTAAGAGCTCAAAATTAATTTAGATACTTTCTTTAAATTTTATTAGGAGTCATCTGAAACATGTGATTTGGTGTTTGAAATGCTCCATAGGCAACTGTGTTGTGGATGGTATTTCTTTATTTAACTGCATGCCTCATGGCTGTAAACACAGAGCGGTGAGAAGCAGGAAGGAAACAAGCAGAGGAAATGCAAGCACTTTAGGAAAGCAGGAAAGAGAAGTTGCTGGTGATTAAAAAAAGGATGTTATGTATCTATGGACATCTTATTTTAGCAACAGATCAGTAAAGCTATAATGTGCAGAACAAAAATAATAAAATAGTATAGTAACTCATAAAGGATTATTAGATAGATAGATAGATAGATAGATAGATAGATAATTTATCTGTACCTCAAAGTATTACTCCTTTTTCTTTATCTGCATTCAACCTAATGTAGTAAGACTAAATAAAATAAGGGTGATAGTTCAGAACATCCTTGTATGGATTTTTAAACCTGAAGAAGTCAGCACTGGTTTCTCAGAACTTAAGCTTCCACTTTGAATGGCTGCTAAATTTTATAGACAGTCTACAAACATTTTGTCCTATCGTAAGTTTTGTTAAATAAGAAGCTTAACTGTTTCATTCTTTTTTATTGAATTGGACTTAATCTATATACTCATGTGTGAGTTTAGAAATGTTAGTTAAAAAGTCAATCTCAGAAAATCTGAACCGACTTATCCATGGGGCAGTGTCTGTCCATACTGTATCTTTACTCTTATCAAAAACAGAACCAATCCCCTTCTATGACTAGATCAGTAGTTCCCAACATTTTTTTAACCAGGATTTGACCAGCGACCACCCTCCAACATTAGTACCAAAAAGGGTTGTAGATCAGTTTTTGATCAACTTTAGATTCAGTATAAATTCAGTTTGAATCAGCACCCCAAATAACCCCAAGAACAGGCCTAAAAACAAAGGCGCCAAGGTGCCCAGGTACCACATGGAACGGCTCTGCTTAGCGGAGGGAGGAGGAGGAGGAGAAGCAGCAGTCAGGAGGCTTGCTGTCGCACCTTTCGTGGGTAGTCAGCCTCTCCCCTCCTTACATCCCTGTTGCCTCAGCACTATGAGAAGTTTTTGTGAGACTAGTTGGTCTCGTTTCAATGGTTCAGTAACGGTGAGGCTGCAGCCATATTTTAGTTCTTGGGGACCACTGGTGGTCCACAGATCACAGGTTGGGAACCACTGGACTAGAGGGACAAAATGTGAGAGCTTATTCCATCTCAGGAGAATCTGAAAGAAGCATCGGTCTCCTCACTCTTTCTGCTGTGGCGCTACTTCTGGCGTTTTTGAATGCCTGGATGAAGAAATGCAACAGAGACCAGGGATGGCTGCCTCTCTGAGATGACATTGATGCTTTCCCCTCTTCATGGGATGACCCTCAACTGATTTGTGGGTTATAAAAAATCAATAGCTTTGTCCCTGAAACCTATCCTTGACTTATACATGAGATCGACTTATATATGAGTACTGATGTGTACAGTAGTCATGATTAACTATTGCTGGATGTTCCTTTTTTGTGCCACTTAAACAATTTGATTATTTGACTTCAGTTTGAGTTAGGATGGAATTGAAACTACTAAACATGATCTCATTGCTGTACTTATTATTTCAGCTCTTTTAATTTTTACACATATGCATAGTTAAAGGCTATTCTTGTTCATACCAGGTTCTTCTTTCTTTATCCTCACTGTTCTGTGCTTTTTTTGTCCATGCTTTTTCTTTATTCTTACTGGTTGTGGTACCAACATGATTTCCTCTGTGAAACACTACCATTATTTGTGTGATGAAATCGTACAAAGACACAGCTCCTTGTTATGTGCCTTTAAGACTGTTCTAACTTATGATGAACTTAAAGAAGGGCTTCTTGGCAAGATCTATTCAAAGGACGGTTGCCTAATGTGAACTAGTGAATATCCATGGCTGAATGAGGATTTGAATCCTCATCTCCAAGCATTTTAAGCCAGCGTTCAAAACACCATGCTGCATCTCCATATAAAAGTGGAGTTGCCACAGCCAGTGTGGCATAGTATATCACACCATAGGAGTGGCATGTTCCCCAGCAGTGATTAGGTCTCCAGCAAGCAAATCCTGCTGAGTTATATGTACTGAAGGAAAGCTCTGTTTTGATGAAAACCACCATCACCCTTTGTAATGGAACTGTATAGATCCCAGTTCATTTGTTAGAATGTCTCACCTACAGCTTGAGAGTAGCCATTTACCTGTTAGCTTTAGGAGGGTGGAGCTTAAGAAAACCTTTCCTAGTTTGTATAAGTTTGCCCGCCCCTTTGTCTGGGGAAAGGGAGCTATTTTAGTTTAGAGTTATTACCACCAGGGAATCTTGGAAGCAAGACTTGTCTATAGTTCGTCCCAGTGAGATCCAGGCTTGAACAAGCCATTTCAAGCCAATAACCACCACTATTCTGGGAACTCATTCGGCTGTTCTGATCTACCACTGGTCAGTGGCAACCTGTGGAGTTTCCAGCACCTTCAGCAATGTGTCAGGCCTCAATAGGAGAGGCCTGCTCTCTCAGCCTCCGGCCTGATCACCTTGGACACTGGGTGGCCCAGAAACCCCTTTATTAGAGAAAGTGAGCAAGGAAATCTTTGATCTGTCCTTCATCTCCTAAATCATCCACTCGCAGTGACTTCAAGTACAACCAGTTACCTTTGAACTTTAAGTAGGTATTTTGTTGAGGGGAAATCAAGATAGTGCCTGGGTGGAGATAGGCCCAAGACCAATTAATAAATCATTACTCTTCCTTTAAAGCAATAGTGTGGACATTAATTCTGTGGGGTTCCTTGCTTAAACAGGAAAGCAAACCAGTATCCCCCAAGCGGATAGAAAGTTAAGACATTTAAAGCAGCTTGGGTGCGACTGCACACCTCTGAAAAGGTTCCAAAAGAATGAGCTTGTTTGGTACTGATTTGAGCCAAAACATTGCATTTTGATATTAATACTAGTGCCAACACAAGGATAATCAATTGGCAGCCCAGAGTCAGAGACAGGAATGAAGTCCAGTAAAAGTTAGTGAGATAATACTGCAAGGAAACTAGTATAAAAATAAATTAGTAGGAATTCATTTGCCTCCCCTTGGATATGTTTTAGATGAGGAATGGAGAAAGGGCATCCTTGTGTACTGGGCCTATTACTCCTGGTTTTTCCCCCAACAAGCCAGGTTATGTATGAGATGGGCAGATATTGCAGGAATGCTTTTCCCCATGCTCCCTGGAGGATGTCAAGGTCTAGTTTTCATTTTCAGAACTGAAATGAAGGACACGGGGGATTTATGGCCCTTCAAGGTGGCAGCAAGTGGGGCGGGGGTGGTGCATATTGGATTCTGGATTCTGGAAGGTACTTATCCATGCTTTAGCTTTAGGGGTTCATGTTGTTGCAGAGCATTTAGACACATGACCCATTTGATAGCAAAATGAGAGGAGTGTAAGATGCAAAATCCTATTCAAATACAAATTCTTTCATGAATTCATCAGACACTGTTTGGCAAGCCACTTTCTTTCAGACACCCCCCCCCCCCTCTACAATTGAGGAATGACAATACCAACTGCCATTTAGAAGCATGCTGTAAAGATTGCTGAAGTAATGTATGGGAAACTCATTACAGAATCTACTGTATAATTGCTGTTATTGTTCTTTCTGTGACTCTGTGACACATGCAGCTCGCACGCCCGCAAGACTTTTTCCGCTGTGCCTAGCAAGCCTAGTGCACTCAGCAATTAGTTTATGTCTCTGTTTCTCCAGTGTTATATTCAACATTTTGTTGTTGTGTTTTTCAAAAGAAGATTTTGTACCTTCTCAGCCTTTTTGAAATCCCAAAAAACCTAGTGCTGAGCATAACCAAGCACAATGACCCCTGTCTCAGTTGGCCAATAGCCAGAAAGTCTCTCTCTTTTTTTGCCCAGCATGAATTGCTGCTTTCACTTCTGTTGGGTTTAACAAGTGCTCATACAGCTCGCTGTAATGGCAGGAGGGGGAATCATACAGTCAGCTTTGTCTATTGACAACCACTGATGCCTTAAACTGTGGTGGGCAATTTGTTCAGTAACAAGAATTAAGTCAAACTGCACAATGAGGCAAAGCTCCATAGCTTGGAAGTATAAACAAACAAAATTTGCATAACATTATCATGAACTTGGCTTGTTCTCGAATAGCAGTGAGTTAATTACTCTATATGTCTTCTGCAGTTTAGAAGTTTTGCTTTCAAAACACTAACATCTTTAAAAAGTCAAGAAAAACCTTTATTCCCAAGAATTAAAAATCAGTTGGAGGTGGGATTCTTTTTAACCTTGTTTCCTTTTTTTACATTTTCTAAACTTTGTAAGGGCAGAAAACCCATCTTCATTCAATTCTATATCTAGGAATTGGGTTTCACCATGAACTTGTTTTTATTTATTGCATATAAATATTATAAAATTACAGCAATTAAACAAAATAAAAAATAGAGCTGAGAAGCAGAACATCTTAAAATATTGGGAAAAAATCAACCTTTTTATAGTTACAGAAATAGAGTAGCTTCATAAAATGATGTACGGGGGGGGGGGGGGYGAAAGATATATTTTCAGTTCTTTGTGACCAGTAAAACTTAGGTGCAGAGAAATAGAGAGGGCTGGTAAAATAGCAAAGGATTGGAGAGATCTCGCAAGACAAGGAACCAGAGATGGACCCAGGGAGGGTGATCCTTGAGAGACAGACTTTCAGGTATGCACTAAATTCCTAACAGAACTGTGCCTTGTGCTATTCTTTAGCTTGTGTTTAAAATATTGATTCTTTGTTTTCTGTAATTCACTGCACTTAATATAAAAATAATATTTTAAATAACAAAATAAAATACTCAAAGCAATAAAAAAAATATAAACCCATTTTGTATTAACCCTTAAAATGTACAGCTCTTGGAACTGCTGGTCGAATCATAAGCCATCAGAACTGCAGTGTGCTACAACATTTTCAGAAAGTATTAAATATTGCTTTTACTGATTATATTTATACTTTCCCTTTCCTCCAGGGTGACACATGGTTCTCCTCCTAACTTCATCCTCACCTTAATTTGTGAAGTATCTTAAAATCAAAGATAGTGCCAAATCTACAGTCAAACAGGGATGTTTGTTCTCTAGCTTTTTATCAATTCTGATCGAGGATTCTCCTTTTGTCTGTTGAGGTTCCCAACTTCTGCACTGTAGATCTTAGGAAGCTATTTCTTGATTTAAGTCATCGGCATGCTGGCTGATATCTGAACAGAGGATGGGCCGGAGATGTCAATGCCTTTATTCTTTCATTACTGGCTGCTACTTCCCTGCGGATATCAGGCGGTGCAATACTGGCTAAGCAGTATAATTTCTCCAGTGGTGTTGGGCATAGACATCCTGTGATAATGCAGTATGTCTCATTAAGAGCCACATCAAATGTTTTAACGTGGTGAGATGTATTCCACTCTGGGCATACGTACTCAGGAGCAGAATAGCAAAGCGCTAGGGCAGAGGTCTTCACTGTATCTGGTTGTGATCCCCAGGTTGTGCCAGTCAGCTTTCGTATGATATTATTTCTAGCACCCATTTTTTTGCTTGATATTCAAGCAGCGCTTTTTCTAAGTCAGGGCACGGTCCAGAGTGACTCCCAGGTATTTTGGTGTGCTGCAATGCGCCAGTGGGATTTCTTCCCAGGTGATCCTCAGTGCCCGAGATGCTTGTTTGTTCTTAAGGTGAAAAGCACACGTCTGCATTTTAGATGGGTTAGGAATCAGCTGGATTTCCCTGTAATAGGCGGTAAGAGCACCTAAAGCTTTGGAGAGCTTCTGTTCAACTTTTGTAAAGCCCCCTGTTTGATCGGTGATGGCATGATCGTCAGCATAGATGAAAATATCTGTCCCTTCTGGCTGTGGCTGGTTATTTGTGTAGATGTTAAACATTGATGGAGCAAGCACGTTCTCCTGAGGCAGGCTGTTCTGTTTTTGCCATCTGCTTTTCTGACCCTGGAACTTAACAAAAAAGCCCCTGTTTTGTAGCAGATTTCCTATGAAGCGGGTGAAGTGGTAATCTTTTGTGATATTATGCATTTTTCTCAGGAGGTGATGATGGAATTTGAAGATTAGTTTATGAAACTTAGTTGATTAGAGCTGATGGAGAATACTCTTTGTCTTCAGAACATCTCTGGATAGTGGCACTTGACAACTGCAAAGTATGTATATAATGGTCATGGGTAAAATAGCCTTCTAACATATGTGTCCTTCCTTTTGCAAACAGCACAAGTGGAGGTGCTCTCTGCTGCCCTCCGGGCCTCAAGTCTAGATCCTCAGGAAGAAGCTGCCACAGGCATTGTCCAGTTAGTGGATTGCCAGAGTGAATTGAACATCAAAGACCAGCTGAACTGTCAGTTAATTCAGAATAGTGCAGTGCCTTTAATCAATGATGCTGTTGAGGTAAGTACTTGACTGTTAAAGATTTATCACTTGAGAATTGTTTTAATCAGAATTTTTACTGCCAGAAAATCAACAATTTCATTTTTGTATTCAGTAGTAGTTTGCCGTTGAGTAACTACGCACATTTGTTAATTTTTTGCCATCATTATAAGACGTGTCTTATTTCCCACAACAGGACATTGTAGAGTCTGCTCTTCGTTACATTCATCATGATTCTGATTTAAGTACTAACAGTAGCTTCAGCCCTGAAGAGGAGAAAAAATCCAAAATTCAGGTATTTCCTGTTCACATCACAGAAGTGGCACCTTGTAATTTGCTGCTGTCGTTTTAATAATATAAGATATAAACATAGGATTGTAGTATTTTAATCACTTTCCCCTTTAAATATCTAGTGTAGTTTTCTCTTAAAATGCATCACTTTGAAATTTAAAACACACCCTTAATATCTTTGTGCTCTCACTCCTGTTATCTCCTGTTGTGAGCCTTTGAGTTGTGAGTTCAGTAAAAAATGTACATGTTCTTTGAACGAGAGTATGAAATGGCCTTCTTATGGCAGACCTTTCTGTTTCTCTCTTGCCTTACATACCAGTAATCAAAGGCAATACATAAATAATGCAGAATGTATATTTGCCATGATGGGACTAGTCCTATTCTTGGCCCACTTTTTGTGAGAAACTGCTGAGAATTTCCCTACCATGGGGATAGTGGGGAGACAAGTGACAGCTCTCCTGAAGCAGGTATCAGTAAGCAGATACAGCAGGAGACAGGTCTGCTAGTCCTATTCTTTTTGCCATTGGGAAGGCTGACCAAGACAAATTTTCCACATAGAAAAACATGGGGGGAAAGTTGTTGGTTTTTTGCCCTGCCCAAGTGAATCTGTAGGAGTCCAATCTGTATGAGACTCAAGTCATTTTTGTCTTCATCCATAACTTCTAGGGCCTGATTGTCATTCCTGCCTTTCATTCTCAGTGTTTTTATTTATTTTGTATAATGAAATAATTCTCTCAGAACATATTTTAAGATTCTGCTTTCCGTTTTAGGACGTTGTACCTCAGGCCTTGCTGGACCAGTATTTATCCATGACAGATCCCTCTCGAGCCCAGACTGTTGATACTGAAATTGCAAAACACTGTGCCTATAGCCTTCCAGGTGTGGCTCTGACCCTAGGTAGACAGAACTGGCACTGTCTCAAAGATACCTATGAGACTCTCGCCTCCGATATGCAGGTAATGCTGTAACTCTGAAAAGAACCCCTTCTTAGTCCATTATCATAGAATCATAGAATCAAAGAGTTGGAAGAGACCTCATGGGCCATCCAGTCCAACCCCCTGCCAAGAAGCAGGAATATTGCATTCAAATCACCCCTGACAGATGGCCATCCAGCCTCTGTTTAAAAGCTTCCAAAGAAGGAGCCTCCACCACACTCCAGGGGACAGAGAGTTCCACTGCTGAACGGCTCTCACAGTCAGGAAGTTCTTCAATGTTCAGATGGAATCTCCTTCTTGTAGTTTGAAGCCATTGTGCTGCGTCCTAGTCTCCAAGGAAGCAGAAAACAAGCTTGCTCCCTCCTCCCTGTGGCTTCCTCTCACATATTTATACATGGCTATCATATCTCCTCTCAGCCTTCTCTTCTTCAGGCTAAACATGCCCAGCTCCTTAAGCCACTCCTCATAGGCTTGTTCTCCAGACCCTTGATCATTTTAGTCGCCCTCCTCTGGACGCATTCCAGCTTGTCAATATCTCTCTTGAATTGTGGTGCCCAGAATTGGACACAATATTCCAGGTGTCGTCTAACCAAAGCAGAATAGAGGGGTAGCATTACTTCCCTTAGATCTAGACACTATGCTCCTATTGATGCAGGCCAAAATCCCATTGGCTTTTTTTGCCGCCACATCACATTGTTGGCTCATGTTTAACTTGTTGTCCACAGGACTCCAAGATCTTTTTCACACGTACTGCTCTCGAGCCAGGCGTCACCCATTCTGTATCTTTGCATTTCATTAATTTTTGGATGTGTGCTATATCTTTCTTCCTAGGTAGTAAAGCATGCAGTGTTCCTTTATCCTGCACTGTAACTGCTTAATGGAACAGCTTGCTATGATGTAATTTCTATAAGGCAGCCAGCACTCTTCCTGTTGGAATGCTGTGCAATATGCAAACAGTAAATCCACTTAGCTAGTAAAGGAATTAAAAGCAAGGATTAGAAAAAAAACATTTCGCTCTGTGCCAACCCTTTATTGCAAGAACTTTCTTAGCAGTATTTGTAAAAGGCTGGCTTTTTGCCAGTGTTACAGGTTAAGTGCAGTACTTCTAAATTTCCAAAATTACAAAATCGGATTGAAAAGCTGTTCCTCTGTTCTGTTGTGCAGTGGTGAAGAGCTGGATTGTGTTTCAAGCACCAACTTTGGAACAGGCTTCTGCTTGCCTCTGGTGCTAGATTTTCCGTGGCATTGGTAGGAGCACAAGTATCTTCTGACAAACAGGCATAAGGAGAGAGGGCATGCTGAATTAATTTGTCTTTGGTTTGCTTGTAATATTCATGCACCAAACTCTAATCCTAACTCTTTTGTCTCATTTATTAACAAGTGGAAAGTTCGAAGAACACTAGCATTCTCAATACATGAACTTGCTGTCATCCTTGGAGACCAGCTTACAGCTGGGGATCTGGTTCCAGTCTTTAATGGCTTCTTAAAGGACCTGGATGAAGTCAGGATTGGTGTTCTTAAGCATCTGCATGATTTTCTGAAGGTAAACTTTCCTTCTCTCTGTATTAAGTCCATTTGTCATCATATTGTTCTCTGCATTGTTTGGTATTACTAGGTCATAAAATGTATCAACAAAATAAATAAGCAAAAGCAAAAAGGACAGGAAAACTTCATGATTGTGATTGAACTGAGGGTATATTTAATTTCTCCCATGATTTTATTTCCTCCAAATTGCTGGAGTGGACATGTGTCAAACTCAAGAGTCATGGGTCAGACCCAGCCTGTTGTGCCATTTTATGTGCCCCACCAGATGCTGGATTTTAACTCCTAATTTCTGATTTCCTCATCATTAGACATCACTAGAGCTGATGGCAGTTGTGATACAGTAATTTCTGGAAGACTGCAGTTTGTTATGTTTAGTCAGTTTGAATTTAGATACAAGTCTTGTGAACGTGATGCCTGACTTTAAAATGTCCTTCGAGCTTTCCCTAACCTCAGAGCCACAACTGCTGATGGGCTACAATTCCCATAATCCCCAGCCCACATGGCAGTTGTTCAGTAAGATATGGGGACCCACATTGGGTGAAAGATAAAGAGTACTGACCACCATGTATTAAAATTGTAGTTAGCCCTCTGTATCCACAGATTCTATGTCCATGGTTTCAATGACCCTTTGAAGGTAACCATAAGGCTGATGTGACCCTTGAAGAAAATGAGTTTGACACCCATGCTGTAGTGTCTGTTTTGAGCTTTTTTGAACATTTGATTTTTTTACTGTACTTTGGGTTTTGCATGATTCTGGCATTGTTCATTATTATATTTCCAGCTTCTTCACCCTGACAAAAGGCGAGAATATCTTTATCAGCTTCAGGAATTCTTAGTCACGGATAACAGCAGAAACTGGCGTTTCCGAGCCGAGCTTGCAGAGTAAGTTTTAGCTGTAAATAAATTGTTGCATTTAAATCTTACACCATTAAAATGACATCATATTTTTCTGAAAACTGTTAGCTAGTGCTCCTTTTATGATTGCTACAGACACGTGAGAGAGTTAATAGAAGAGCATTAGCGATTGGGCAAGGGCATGCAATGAGGTTTATTGCTAAGAGGGGTGGATTTTGGTCTTTTGTCTCCCAGATCCACTTTCAGCACAACAGCACACTGCAGCCATTATTCTATGTTGACCCTCATGTTTGTAAGGCGATTAGCAAAGAAAGGGCCTCATGAAAAGCCAAGGAGCGTTTTAGAGCCTGTTTCGGGTGGTAGCCGCATGAATTTTCTCCTTTTGCACATGTGCACCTGGTTAGCAAAAATGTACTTGCATCTTGTAGGACTGTAATTGTAATACGTGGGACCTACAAGAAAATAGTAGAGTTCCATTTCCCCAGAAATAAGGCCTACTCCAAAATTAAGACTTGACATGATTTTTCAGGGTTTTTGAAGATTAGTTTGTTTTATGAAATATAGGCCTTACTTCAAAAATAAGCCCCAGTTGCAGTTGATATTTATTTATTTATTTATTTATTTATTTATAACATTTATATCCCGCCCTTCTCAACCCCCGAGGTGGGATTCAGGGCAGCTTACATCCGGCAGCAATTTGATGCCAATACACACAACAAAATAATGTAACACAAATTTGACTTTAATTAAAACAATAAGATATAAAATATAAAATTAAAAACATTTCTAAGAGCAATATAATCACATCCAAGTCCAGTTCAGCATCCAGAGTTCCAGTCCATAGCCTGTCCCTTATCAGTTCTCACAAATCCTTACGATTACTTTTTGGCCTGCTACCCAAGTGCCTGGTCCCAGAACCATGATTTGAGCTATTTCCTAAAGGAAAGGATAGATGGAGCCGATCTAATTTCTCTGGGAAGTGTGTTGCACAGACGGGGGGGCCACCACCGAGAAGGCCCTGTCTCTCATCCCCGCCAATCGGTCAATTTGGAAAAATGGGATCTCCCCTGAAAATAAACCCTAACACATCTTTTGGAGCAAAAATTGTCTTATATTTCCCTGTCTTATATTCAGGGAAACAGGGAATGTAGCTCAGATTTATGATGCTAAATGTCCTTTGACCAGAAACTGGCCACTTGAGTGCCTCTGATGTCACTCTTGAGAAGGTGCACGTGGCAGGGTGGCTGTGGTTTGCTCTTACATCTTGTGGACTCCACTTTGTAGTCCCATTTCTTATGGTTAGCTCTGCATCTCGTGGTGCCAGAGCTTTGGTATGACAAAGTCAAAGTAATGCAATTTTTACTAAAGCAACAGAGGCTATTGACTTATAGTGGTTCCAAAAGATTCATTATCTCCTATATTTCTTTAAAAAAATGTAGACTTAAGTTTGGAGAAATAACACAAATGTTAATTCATTGTCATAGCATAATACCCCCCCCTCCCCGGGTTGGTTCACCCTTGTGATTCTTAGTTTTGACCCTTTGTTGATTTTATTCTTGTAGGCAACTGATCTTACTTCTAGATCTCTACAGTGCCAGAGACATATATGATTACCTCCGACCTATTGCTCTTAGCCTTTGTGCAGACAAGGTCTCATCTGTTCGTTGGATCTCCTACAAGCTGGTATGAGCATTAACAGTTTACACTTAAAGGAAATGTAATGCATTTTTCTTTTTGAATTAAATTACCAATGTTCTGGGCACTGTGCATCTTTTTCTAGGTTAGTGAAATGGTAAAGAAGCTATATAATGATCCAACGTCAACATTTGTGGTCGACCTCATGAATGAATTAGTTGAAAGATTCTGCAGATGTCCCAAATGGTCTGGTCGCCAGACATTTGTTTTTATATGTCAGGTAAGAGTCCCATGAGTCCTTCCTCTTCTTAAATGGCAGCTTAATATCAAGGAGTTTGATATCAGTGAGCCAAAGCTAGTATCATTCTGAGGAGAGTGAGTAGGCCGAAGCCTGTTATGAGTTATTGGGCCAAAGCTTGTGTCATTGTGAGGAGTGTGAGGTAAACCTGTGTGAGAGAAGCCTCGTGTGAGAAAGCTCCAGTATGAAGGCTGCTGTGTGTAAACCTACTATGTATTTGTTTATTTGTGTTATGAAAACCTAGTTTTTGTAAATAGTGCAACCATATTATTTTACTACAAAGAAGAGCTTCTTAAGGAAGAGATAACATTGGTCTGTGTATTTTTGTTCTTTTTATCACTTTGGGTTACTGGTGTTGGGGCCATGCTGCTAAGTTACTCTGCTTTACATTTATGAGGAAGGTCTTTTGTTATTAAACCCACTCACCCCACAAAGGCTCCTTTACTTTCAAAACAACATTATACCTGAAATTTTAAAAAACCACCAAACAGGTCTATTTAATAAGAAATGAGAGGCATGAGTTTTTATGACTGGATTGTATTCGTCTTCTTCATACAATGTTCCTCACCGCAGATAAAACTGGTTCTGCTTTAGTTCCAGTGTATATTCTGTTAAGACAGTTAGCCAATTATACAAAGTCCAAGACTATCTGATGAAACAAGAAAGGGAAGTTTCAGATAAACAACAAAAAGGCAGGGATCCTTATGCATGGGTTATAGCTACATATTTTGTTCATATTATTTTGAGACTTTGCTTTCCGCTTAGCTGTCTTAATCAGCAGTTATCTGTGGACTGTTCTTGGGTTCCATATTGCAGAAATTTGAAACTTCTTTTCTTTTCTTTTTAGACTATTATAGAGGACGATTGTTTGCCAATGGACATGTTTGCGGAGCATCTGCTGCCCCATTTACTGCACTTGGCCTCAGATAGAGTTCCCAATGTTAGAGTTCTGCTTGCAAAAACCTTGAGGCAAACGCTTCTGGAGAAAGGTGGGTGGTTACTTAGACTTTGAATATTTTTACTTTGCAAACACTTGAACCATTATTTACATTTTCTTCATGTGTTTTGCTGTATGTTCCTATTTAGGCAATGTAGGTACTTCATGCCATGATTGTTCCCTCAAGCCTGTATTTTCTGATGGCTAAATCTTTTCTTCTAGTCTATAATATTTAAAGTGCAAACACAATGGGGTTTTCTCCCCAAAGTTGAAGCAGTGGCGAGATTTTCAAGAGATTAGATTTAGTGGAAAGAAAAAAAGGGAAATCTTAGTACATCATGTTGGGTTCTGTTTTTACACTGCCTCTCCTAACTGGCCACCTTTCTTGAAAACAGTGCTTATTGAAAAGGCGCCAGTTGTCAAATGTACCTGGAATTAAAAGTCTCTGTCATTGGTGATCTTCCTTTAGTTTTTTACACCAATATTTCAGTTAATTTTTAAGCAGAAAAAAGATACAAACATACCATAACAACACTCATACATAAACACAGACATGTCTAAGAATTACGTCTCAAACTACACAACTTCCATCTCTGCTCCAATTGCATGCAAGTCTTAACTACAAACATATACCGTATATACTTGGATATAAGCCGACCCAAATATAAGCCAAAAAACTGGGAAAATATATTGACTCAAGGGTCGGAAATGCAGTAGCTACTAGTAAATTTCAAAATAAAAATAGATGTCAATAAAATTACATTAATTGAGGTATCACTAGGTTAAATGTTTTTGAATGTTTATACAAAACTGTAGGTATGAATAATTTTAGTATAAGGGGTAGGGGTGTGTTTTTTTCTAGTATCCTGTGGTAGTTTCGTTAGTGCAAAATTCCTTTGTCCAATTTCTCAACAGTCTTTCCCCCCTGCCTGGCCCTCACTTGACATTTTGTATCACAGATCATGCTATTTATAAGCCTCCTCCAACTTTCTGAAAAGTGGGTGTGTTATTGGATATTGCAAAGGGAAGGAAACAGAATAATAGGCTATGTAAGCTGCATTTTTGCTGTGTTTTGCTGTGCTGTGTTTTGTGCACCTGATTAACAGTTTACGTGCGAGATACGAATTTTACTTGTGGTGCTTCCTTTCTCCCTCCCCCCCCCTTCTTTTTGCCCAGATTATTTCCTAATCTGTGTCAATTCCCATCAAGAAGCAGTGGAACAGACAATCGTGGCCCTCCAAATGGATAATGACAATGATGTGAAGTACTTTGCAAGCATCCATCCTGCCAGTACCAAAATGGCAGACGACGCTATGAGCACGGCCTCTTCAACTTACTAAAGAAGATGCTGAATGTTACTTTCGTTTTAATAAAAGAAGCCCAAAAGCATTACAAAATCACAGGCAAACCTCAGGTGCTCCCAAAATGGATGACCGAAACCTCTTTTTTTTTATGGAGGGCAGAATCTCTTGCCAGACTTTTCACTTCACTTCAATTTTATCTGAACCTGAGACCAAGAATTTAGAGTCAAGAGAAAATAATAAATAAACAAACATTACACGTTGAATCTTGACTCTAGAAAAAACTTTGCTCAGAGGATTGTATTTGCCACCGGAGCCTTAAATCTTCTGTCTTCCTGAATATGTGAAACTTGAATTGGCTGAGCATTTTCAGTATAGAAGGGATATGACCGGCATTTGTTACCTCCTGAGGAGTTAACTTAGAAAGCTTTTTTTTTCCTTAGGAACCAATAGCAGAAATTCTCACAACCTGTAAAGGATGGATTTGTACCAAGAAGCAAGAGACACCTCCAGTATTAAAAATTAAAGTTTTTATCCTTGAAAAAGACTTAATTTGTGTGCAGCTGAGCACATCCTTAAGTGTGAATAGGTTTGGTGTGTGTAAATGAGGGAAAAGTAGAGATTTGGTGTTTTTTTTTTCACCTTAAGGGCTCAGTGCTAACACTAAACTGGAATCTTGATTTTAATCCTTAATACACAGCATATTGCTGTACCCATTCGCAGAAATTTCCGCTGAGTACCTGTGTCCTAATGTGTTTTTTTTCATGCTGGTCATGACCTGAAGGAAACTTTTATTAGCACATGTACTTCAAGTCAGGTATTTTTAACTTGATCATGATCAGCTCCGAGGTGCAACTTTTTCATCATACAATGTACATATCTGCGGCCACTCTCAGGAGTGCTGCAGTCTTTAATCATGCGATTTCAAACTGTTGTGTTAAAATGTTCTGTCGTCCAAATAAAAAAAATTCTTAATAAGAGTGAATGAAATCTTCTTCTCTTAATGTCCATATAAAAGTTTGCAAATATGATTTTTTTTAATCAAGTCTCTCCTTTTCCTGTTGGCATGATGCTATGTGTGCCGAAGATTGTGTGTTTACATTAGCTTGATGGTGTCACTCTGTTTTGGTGTCAGCTCATGTTTTCCTAACAAGACAGCCGGCTCTGGTTCCTCCCAAACCAAAGGAGGAAGTATTTTAGCCACTAGTGGCATATACTGAAAATGCAATGCAGCTGTCAGAAAATCCAATTTTCTCTATGCTGAAAATCCAATCCAGAGGTCGGAATTTAGGGAAGAGGAAGCATGTGGCAGGTACATTGAAAGCTTGGTACAAAGAGGTGATGACTAATTAACAAAGTAACGATTAAAATATTGATTAAAAATAGCCAACTAGGCCTTGCTATGAATCCTTAAGACTGTGGTCTGGCCTTCACATTGCCTTATTCCTTTTCAGATAAGTTCATAAGGCGTCATTATTCACTGGTCTGTACTCTCAATTAAATGCATGCACATAAGAGAGAAGGCTAAGAGGATACATGATAGTCATGTATAAATATATGAGAAGTCATAGGGAGGAGGAAGCAAGTTTATTTTCTGCTGCCCTGGAGACTTGGACGTGGAACAATGGCTTCAAACTACAAGAAAGGAGATTCCACCTGAACATGAGGAAGAACTTCCTAACTGTGAGGGCTGTTCAGCAGTGGAACTCTCTGTTCTGGAGTGTGGTGGAGGCTCCTTCTTTGGAGGCTGGATGGCCATCTGTCGGGGGTACTCTGCAATTTTCCTGCTTGGCTGGGAGTTGGACTGGATGGTCCACGAGGTCTCTTCCAAGTCTAGGATTCTACAATATGCTTTTAATCTCTGCAGTGATTCAAATACAATCTTTAGATCAGACTATTAGTCTGGAAAACTTTGAGCAGGGTAAAAATCAACCTGTGGATTAAATTATATCCTGGAAATCTGGACATAGGAAGCAAATTTTCAGGATAAGCTCTCACTATAATCACCATTAGAAACAAACCTGGTTGAAAGTTAACATATTGCTCATGCTCAGGTGATTGTGGCAAAGGTTGGAATATGAAGTACTTTACAATGTTAGGGACATTGTGGCATGAGATGTCTCAGCTCTCTTGAAATCTATTCCACCTTCACAGGCTTGAACCTTACTGTTAATCCAAACTAATGCAGAGCCATCAAATCAATTGAGTTTGACTATATGTGGATCCACCACTTGAGGTTCTATTCTAACCAGTGTATCAGCCCCTATTGTAGTGTGGAGAAATCATAGCTCTCACCCAATAATGCCAGCTAGTATGCCATTTATCAGGGATAGTGGACTTAGTAGTCCAGCAATATCTTAAGAGGCCTTGTGTACTATTTCCTTTACCTTCTGTCAGTGTTTTCTGTTCTAAAACGTGTTTTCAAATGTGGGGTTCTGTTAGCTGTAAACTTCAGGAATGCCATGGAGCTGGCTGTTTCCAAATGTGTGTTTATTACAGTTATAACTTGCTTTTTCGTGGGGTTTGCAGTGGTCTCCTCTCCAAGGAACTCAATGGTTCTGCATTTCTACAACAGTGTTAGAGCTCACAACCATTCACTAGGCTTCCCTTATGAACAAGTATGATCTAATTATCAATTTTCAACTCCATGCAGCTTTCTGTAATTTTTAAAAATGGTATTCCAGAAAAGCCAGAATAATAACTAGTTATAAATTTGCTAATCTATCGTATTCATGTGTTTGACGAATCTCTCCCATGTAAGTTGTTTTCCCCATTACCTGTCTTCTACAGAAAAGTGCTGTATTTTATCACATATTTTCCCTCACCATGCTGTATATCTTTAATGGGGTTGAGAAATTAATGCTTGGAAAGCTTCTCTGGAATTGTTTTAATACTGTTCCACCACTTATATACTAGCTGCCTACAGCAAATGGACTTCAACCTGCAAAAACAAAATCATGCCACTTTCATCCTCCAGATTTTTGAGGAGTAATAGACCAAAAAGAAAAATCTGGAGGGCTACCTATGTTTGTAAAGACTGCTCTTCCATCTCCCAACCTGAGGTGTATGCATGAAGCTTCTTTGCATCTAAAAAACCCCAAAACTCAATGTAACTCTCCCTTACAAAGGTAGCATTCAGTAGCCCAATCCTATGCAGATCTATTTAATACACATGCATGCATCTGTCTCTTTCTGTCCCTATTTCATCACTGCTTTTCTGGAAATGGACTTTGAAAACCTCACCAGCAGTAAGAGCAGCTCCCATAGGATCCACAAGTGACACCATGTGATCAAGGCCTTTTCTGAAGGGAATGGGAGTTAGCTTTATTGGAAGCTATCATCTGAAGTACCTTGATCATGAAGATGTGGCTCATGAAAAGCAGCTACTACTCAGCTGTTTCCCCAAGGATATTTGGAACAGTAATCACAAGGCAATAGAAGAAGATATGGATTTTTGTGTGTGCATACTGTGGCCTTATCCTCTGCTTACAAGGTCTCTGGCTGGAAAGCTGACTCATGCTCACAGTACAGACAGCCCTTGGGTTACTAATATCCCATTTGTGCTTAAGATGCATTTGTATGTAAGTTGGAACACGTACATTTAAAAGCAGTGATTCTCAACCTGTGGGTCTCCAGATGTTTTGGCCTTCAACTCCCAGAAATCCTAACAGCTGGTAAACTGGCTGAGATTTCTGGAAGTTATAGGCCAAAACACCTGGGGACTCACAGGCTGAGAACCACTTTTAAGTTTTGACTAGCATAGGGAAGTGGTGTTTGTTCTGCTATCAGTGCCCCTGGTTCAGAAAATTTCGCCTCACTTTCTGTCTCTGTGACAATTGGATTTTGAAAAAAATGGGATCGTCGTGGAAACCCGGACTGGTGAAAAAAAAATCATTGGCGACACCTTTTCCCATGATTACTTTTTCAGGAGTGTATTTCCCTTCCAAGTGGTAGATTTCCTCTCAATGTTTGTAACTAGGAGTCATATGTAAATTGGATGTTTGTAAACCAGGGACTGCCTGAATTAGGGTTACCAATTGTGGGGATCTTTATCAGTGAATTCAGCTAAATATAATCCCATAACCCTTTCAAATGTGTATACAAGACCACACATTTAGACAGTTCCTTCCATTTATATATTACAGCAAATGGCCCCCGTGTGGCGCAATGGGTTGTGCTAGCAGGATTGCTGACCTGAGAGGTCAGCAGTTTGAATCCGGGGAGAGCAGATTGACCTCCTTCTGTCAACTCCAGCTCCCCATGCGGAGTGAGAAACCTCTCATGAGAGAAACCTCCCACAAGGATGGTAAAACATCAAACATCCGGGCTCCCCTGAGCAACATCCTTGCAGGCAGCCAATTCTTTCACACCAGAAGCAATCTGAAATTTCTCAAGTTGCTCCCAAAATGGAAAGAAAGAAAGAAAAGCAAATGGCTTTAAAGCAATAGAGCAAATCCAGGCACCCAATTCCACCCTCTTACCACTTGATCAAATAGTATTTTTTTGTGTTTTCTGCATTGAAACAAAAGAATGTACAGATGCTGTTGAATTTATTTACTTGATTAACATGGTCTTGACAAAACAGAAGTTAACTGACAGCAAGTGACTTGCTTGAGGAACATTGATTACATAAATGTTTAACAATCAAATAGAAATTAGTGTGAATTTAAAACAAAAGGTTTTAATACTGCCAGAATATATAAAATCTATGTAACAGGCCAAGAAAATGCTTCATGAATACAAGTGTCTGACCATCTCCATAATTTTTTTCTTCAAGATTCAAGACAAAACAATAGGCTGTTCTCTGCAACATCTCAAAGCATTATTTGTACAAAAATTAAATTGCGGCCCATGATTTCCCCCAGTGCAATAGGCAAAGAAAATAACCCCTACAACAAATAAATATTTAGGCTAGAAATGAAATAAGCTATAAGCACCTGTGGAATTCTGTTCATTATTACTGAGATAACTATTTCTGTGAGAGTTAAGTATGTAAAAATCTCTGTCTCTGAAAAACAAAAATGGCAAAAGTAAGGACAAGGTAGCTGAAACCTGCTCAGGAATCCTTGGCCGTTTTTTGAGATTGTCTGAATAAACTGTTGTATACAGAAACCTGTACTACATGCTTATGGTGTCCATAAGCATGATGTAATGAGCCTCCAGGCGCAATAATCCAGAAAAATCAGAAAAATTGTCACAATGGTTCATTGTCACCTCTGCCTCCTAGAAAGCAAGGCAGGCCATCATGTTCCTCCAGAGCTTGCGGTGAGGGCTTGTCCCAGCAGCCACACTTTGAAATAGTACACAGGTCATCACAAGCATCAAATGACTGCGGCTGGCCATTCTTTTCCCCATATGGTACCTCTTAGGCATCCCCAAATATGTGAAAACATAGGAAAGCCTCTGGGCAATCCTGAGGTGCTCTCCCAGAATTTAAATGTTCCTCAGAAGTACGTGCTACAGTGAAATGTTATGAATTCCCATAAAGTCACTTCAGCTCCAATATAGGATGGAAAGCTGGAGTTCTGCTGTTCTTCTGGACACTAGAAGTATGCTTGGCACCTTCAAAACAGCACAAAAAAGAGCGTTTCCAATCCCTCCCAAGCTTGGTTGCCCTCTAAGGTCTTGTTCACCCCAGGCTTTTGAAGGACAGTTACCAAAGTATTACCCAAAGATGTTAAACTAATGGAGGATTTACTTTTAGAAATGAAACACATTAAGAGACTGTCTTCTATATACTTATATAGTGCTTATAGTCTCATGGCTAATTTATTGACACTCTTCGGTGAATCTGATAATTAAGAGCATTGCCAAGAGATTTGTGGACAACTTTCATTTGTAGGGATACACTTGACAACTGCTCCACCTTAGTTTTACGTGTCATTTCATTGACCTTTCAAAATGTCAAATGGGAAAGAGAACACGTTTGCACTTGAAGATCCAACAGATCAGGACACATTTAATGCTCATGATAAATCTA